AAAAAAAAAAAAAAAAAAAAAAAAAAGAAGTTATAAGTGAAATGATGCAGAATGTGGGGCATTCTGGAGCAGGGGGCTTCTAGGCCATTTTCTAGGTCTTTTACTTTTTTTCTAAGTATAGTTGGGTTTGGTGGGGCATGCCCGTAACCCCAGCACCTGGGAAGGAGAGGTAGGAGGATCATGACTTTGACGTTAGCCTGAGCTTTGTAGCAAAACTCTGTCTTAAAAAATAGAAACAAGCCGGGCGGTAGTGGCACACGCCTTTAATTCCAGCACTCAGGAGGCAGAGGCAGGCGGATCTCTCTCTGTGAGTCTCAAGCCAGTCTTGTTTACATAGTGAGATTCAGGACAGCCAGACTCTGTCTCAAAATAATAAGGTGGAGAGTTATAGAGGAAGATACTCAACACCCTCCTCCGGCCTTCACACACTCATGAACCCACCACATGCACAAGCATACATACACACACACATGTTCTCTGTCTCTCACACACATGCTCTCAATCTCTTTCTTATACATACACATATAAATACACACAGAGAGATACTAATTCAGAATGTTGTCCCTATGCTGTCCAAAACAATATTCCTGTGTAGTTTGGTGAACACTCAGATGTGGTTAGGATAACTAAAGATCTGAAGTTGAGCCTGGTGTGATGGCCCATGCTTACAATTCCAGCACATGAGATCAAAAGAGGGGCAGTGGGATGTTTAGACTGGAATTCAGTGGCTGCATGTAGTTAATGACTGCTGGGTTCAACAGCACAGGTCTAATCTAATGTCCTAGCTGTGGGGACTCATTTCTGATGGGAGGAAGCTTTGCTGAAAGATTTGCTTTTCTTCCGCAGGTTCCTTTTTAACCCCTCTGCCTGCCTTGATGAACACTTAATGCAGTTCAAGTTCTTGGGAATTTTAATGGGGGTTGCCATTCGGACCAAAAAGCCTCTGGACCTTCACCTGGCGCCTCTGGTATGGAAGCAGCTGTGCTGTGTTCCACTCACCCTGGAGGACCTGGAGGAGGTGGATCTGCTCTACGTGCAGACCCTTAACAGCATCCTTCACATTGAAGACAGTGGCATTACTGAGGAGAGTTTCCATGAGGTAAACCCCGGCACATGGCGGCTTCTCTGTGGACGTCCTGTGTGTGGAGATGGGAAGTTTTCTGTGTAGAGCCGGATGCTGTCCTCCTCTTTCTGTGAGCCTGACCCTGTGTGTCTGGGCCAAGTTGCCCCTGGCGGCTCAGTCTTAGTAGTCCCAGTAGCTGCTCATGTGTAGAGCTGGCGCTTGTCCCCAGCTCCTGTTTCTTCCACTTCAACAACTTCTCTGCCCATCAGAGTGGACAACCAGGGGTGCCAGCAGGAAAGGGACCCATGTTCTTAGGTGGTTGGAACACAGCAGAGATGTACCTCTTTTTCCCTGTACCAGATGGGTCCGCATGGTCTTGAGCAGTCATAGCTGCCTGGACTGCCTTGTTTTCAGTACTAAAGCCTTGTCTTTCTTACTGTTGTGTGTGAGAGACATGCTTTTGTTATCCTCTCTGCCATGTAATAAAATTTCTTATTTTTCTTTTCTTAGATGATTCCTCTTGATTCTTTTGTTGGCCAGAGTGCTGATGGCAAAATGGTTCCCATAATCCCTGGTGGAAATAGTATCCCACTCACATTTTCCAATAGGAAGGAGTATGTGGAAAGGGCCATTGAGTATCGACTGCATGAGATGGACCGTCAGGTGAGATGAAACACCATGGTGCGGGAGGAGGTGCCTGGGATGCTTTAGTTTATCCAGACAAGAGCTCACCTGTTACTGCCAGATCTGGCCGTTATTTCCAATGATGTATAGATTCAGTTGTGTCAGTCTTTTAGACCTTACCCAGGGACTTCTTAGGCCATGTGTCACTGCCCATGTCCTTAAGTCAGCTCCGAACTGATCATTGGTTGTGAGGTGAAGCTCTCACCTCGCACTGAGGCCCCTCCTCACATGTCTGGCCCACAGTTCTTACTACTTCCCTATCCAGTGCCCCACTCCAGCTAGGTCAGTCAGCCCTAAATCCGGGTCTTAGAGCCTCACAAGAGCCTCTTCCCTCCTGACACAGACCTTCCTTCCCAGACCTGCTTCTCCTAACTGGGAGAGACTTCTTCCCTTACTCTGAAATACACTCAGCTTGTGTCATATTTGTGTGGATATAGTGGCCTAAGAACGTTTGAGTCTTGTTTCTTCAGTCCGCTTGAAAGGCTGCAGGTGAGGAGCGCACCTTCTTTGTCATTGGTGTTCTCCTGTCTGTGCTGAAACACGGGTAAGCACGAGGTAATGTTAGGGTAGGAATATGTGACCATCGGAGTTGATACTCTGTCCACAGGTGGTTCTTTTCAAAAGATCATTAATAATTTCAGTGTTTCGTTTTCAGGTTATGTTGGGCCTTTTTAGCTCTGGATCCAGGCTCTGAGGATATCTAAGTTCAGTTATTTGAAGTTCCTTCTTTGAGTTTGGCTTTGGGGCCAGTTCAGTCATGAAACTGTTTTCCTTAGTTTAGCAAAGGTAGGTTCAGTCAGTGACAGGGTTTACAGGGCCAGGGTTCAGGGTTTGTCTCCAGTTCTTGATGGAAAGGGGTGTGTGTGTGTGTGTGTGTGAGAGAGAGAGAGAGAGAGAGAGACAGACAGACAGAGACAGAGACAGAGACAGAGGAGACAGAGAGGAGAGAGAGATGGGGGGAAGGTCTATGTATGTGTTGTTGAGAATTAAGATCAGGGTCTTGCCTGTACGAGGCAAGTGCTACACTACTGAGCTACATCTCCAGTCCTGATGAAAAGTTTAGTGACTGATTAAATGTGTACTGGTCCTGCCTAGTGCTGGACCCCAGTGTGTGCACTTTTCTCCACGGGGTACTTTGGGAAATAAGGGTTATTGTCAGCGCTTCACAGAAGCCCAGAGTCTAGGGAAAATAAGAATTGGCCACTGCAGATCCAAGAGCCCAGGCTTCCTTGCAGGCTGGTTCTCCCGGCGCTTTCTCTGCGCTCCTGGCTGTGTGCTGTGCTCACTCTCTCTGCCTCGTTCCTCTCTCGGTGAGCTGGCTGCTTCTGTTTTCACTTGTGCCTCATCTTGTAGATTGAATGTCCCCTGTGACTGTCCCCAGTCATCTCCTTGCCGCCTCCAAGCAGCCAGCCTCACACCTCAGTTTTTCCCCAACAGTCTTTGTTTTCTGTTTGGCTGGCCTTGGTGGGTTATTTTGAGTCTATAGTGTAGATATACCCCTCAGTGCCTCGGTGGGTTATTTTGACAGTCTGTAGTGTGGATATACCCCTCAGTGCCTTGGTGGGTTATTTTGAGTCTGTAGTGTGGATATACCC